CAAAACATCATAACCATTTTGGGCTGTTTTCTTTATTTTGTAAGGGAAAAAAAAAAAAAAAAAAAAAAAAAAACACAAAGTACATTATTTTCTAGTGTTGCACTGATACCAGTATCGGGCAGGGCACCGATCCAGCACTAAAATGGTGGTATCGGTATCGGTGAGCACCAACAAATAGGGCACTGATACCATTTTGAGAGCCAAAAGTTTATTCAACTATTGTCACCAATTCCAGGTAGGCAATAAAAAGTTCTAATGGATTCACTTTGTTTTAGTCTTTTTCCTGCTTCACAAAGGTAGGCAGCAGCTTGACAAAGCCATGATGGTAATTATTTTACATCCAAATAGTATGCAGTTCTACATATATACACAAACACATAAATTTTTAACAGATGGTATCGGCCAATACTGCAGAGTCAGGTATCGGTATCGGGGCCAAAAATGGCATTGGTGCAACACTATTATACCCCATTTACACTACCCTTGAAAAACCTTGCCGAGACCGGTCCGAGCTCAGTAACTGAGATAACTTATCGTGTGTAAATGGAAAGCAAACTGAACTGAACCGAGCTAGACACAACCGAACCGAGCTAACTGCAGACCAGTTCCAGAGGTTCACTCGGCTCGGTTTTTCCCTGGCTCGGTTCTCTGGTAACAAGAGCGCATGAGCAGAACGCGTCATCTTCGTCTGGCTGCACATCGCAATTCGCAATTCACACTCCATTCCAGTAGTTGGCGGTAATGCCCCTCCGGAAACATAAGAAGAAGAACAACTTCTTCTTCAACTATAAACAACAATCAAAATCTTCTCCATGCAACATTTTAAATAATAACACCGAAGTACAGCAATAATAATCAAGCATAACTTTCTGAATGTGACGGGCGCCGCCATTTTAATTTGCTTGATACCCCCCCTCCTTCGTCTTCTTCTTCTTGTGTTTTATGGCGGTGGGCAAACAACTTTTGGTGCATTACCGCCACCAACTGCTTGATTTCCTCCTTAAATACTGGCAGTAATACCGCAGATCGTCACTAGGAGGCGAGGAGTCGAGGAACCGAGATAACGTGATGTGTAAACGGTCGTCAGAACCGTCAGGCCTGGTTAACTGATCCGAGCTGATCGGTCTCGCCATGGATCGGTTTTTCAAGGGTAATGTAAATGGGGTATGATTTTCCAAAGGTTGCAAACGGCTTCCCAACAGTAAAGTTTAAAGCACAGTTGAGAAATCCCAAACTATTTTAACAAACTATGCATTGTCTTACCTGCAAGGTATTTGATAGTATCCAGTTTATGAGACTCCAACATGGTTTTTAAACCAGCCACCTCCGTGTCGATTTTCATGTTTGTATGGGTCAGATGGCGATCCTGCTCTGCTGTCTGCACCAAATGGGAATAAAAACAAGGAAAGAAAATAAAATCTTTAATATAATAAAAGCATTCAAAAAACAACCTAAAATCTGCATGTTTTAGAACAAAAAGAAAATTACGGTTTGGAACAATTCTTAAAAGGGGAACAATTAATACAAACCATTTCCAGAATCTCAGTTCTTGTTTCCAGAAGCCTCTTCTCATGCTCCGCTTTCTGAAAATGTAAGGATTTTATTTTTTAATGTAATTAAAAAGAGCGAGGGTTAGATGTTTTCTTTAAAACTTCACATGAAGAACCTTTCTTCAGTTACTCTAACAAATACATTTCAAGGTGAGGATACTAAGGATGTTTGTGGAACTTCAGTCTTATTCACTGTGAAATGAAAAAAGGCAGAAGAGTTTTTGTAGAAGCTAAAAGTCGCTGTTTTCAGTGTGTGATGTTATTTCTGCTACAGGAGAGTCCGTGATTTAAAGTTGTTGCATTTCAAGCTGGTTAGGTAAACTAGTTAAAGGGGTCATAACAGTTGTTTGGAAGGTCGGAGTTAATTCAGTATCTTTTATAACATTATAAGAACATTCATTGATTTGTTCATTTTCGACAGGTCTATTAATGCCTTTACATGTAAAACCAAACATCACAGGAAGTGACATCAGGTGGACTTCCTAGCTGAGCTTTTATCTCAGTTCTTGTCACGTTTCCCCTCATCTGATCTAAAACAGTTCGGACAAAGAGTATTTTTAAGAAACCCTAAAAGAAAAAGGGATTTGATTCGATATGGATTGTTCTGATCCATATTTTTTCATTCAGTTTAACATATACTGATATTGCACCTTTGAACGTTGATCGATTCTGATATTGGCAGGCTAACATATTAGCATGAATTATTCATAATTATTTTGTAGTGTGGAATGTTGAAAAGGTTTAAAATGACCCAATTATTATTAACCAACAGTTACATAAACTTTAGACAGATGCAGATAGTTTTTTTACCAGCATGCCAATATCAGATATTTTAGGTCACTGTGAGAATAAAGTAAAAAATTAATAAGCTAAAATATATTTTTTAACTTAACAGTTTGTCTTAATGGGTACATTTCGTTATTCGATTAAATATTTAATTATTTATTTATAACATCCATCCTTTTTCCATCACGCTTATCCCAGCTAGGGTGGCGAGGGGTGCTGGTGTCTCTCTCCAGCTGTCAATGGGCGAGAGGCGGGGTCACCCTGGACGGGTCACCAGTCCATCGCAGGGCAACAGAGACAAACAGAAAAAAACATTCACACACATTTAACAAACCATTCACACACACACCTAAGGAGAATTTAGAGAAGACAATTATCCTAACAGTTACGTATTTGAAGTGTAGGAGGAAACCGGAGTACCCAGGGAGAACCCACACATGCTCAGGGAGAACGTGCAAACTCCATGCAAAAAGACCCC